ATATATATAAACACACACAAATGGGGCTGGATTAGGCTGGGGGGATTTTAGTATAAATACATAAATACAGATTTTGCAAGCTTTGTTTATTGCTTCATCGTGTATTTTTTAAATTCTTGTTTCTCTTTGTGTGCGCTTTTCAAATTACCTAAGCAATTTAATTTTGTGTTATGTTTTTACCATTATATACCCTGGCAACACGTGTGAGAATATACTTTTTTCAAACAGAGGAAATAGGAAACAGGAAACAAGAAGCCTTCATCATGTAGTAATATGTGTCACGGCGCGGTTTAATCAAACGCTCGTCAATTTTTGGGTGCAAGGAGTATTTGGTACCAAATAGAAGCTTATTCTTTTGTCTATCTTTTGATGGAAAAATATGCACCTTTCTTGGATAGAAGTCAAGATATTTGCAATTGAAGGAGGAGTGGGCTCCCTGGTCTCAGATATAAAATTAGGAAGAAAACAGCCCCCCGAAGTCTGGTGACTTCCGAAGCTCGAGTGCTTTTGATAACTGCAATTTTGTATATGTCTTTAAAATCGACGTTTTTCAGTAAAAATCCACTCAAAGATGTGTTTTCTAATGGACATAAAAGGTGTTGATCCAGACTTCAAATATCAAAAGTCAACGAAAATAGCAGACGGGACATGCACGATGCAAAAATGCAAGAAGCAAAATAGACATAGCAAAACCAAATCAAAAGGTACAACAAAGCAACATTATGGAAATACAAGGCAGGGGAATACCTACAGAAATTAAAAAGGGGGGGGGGGGGAGCTCTCGTGGCCTAGAGGTTAGCGTTTTCGCCTCTCATGCATTAGTATCCGGATATTGACGGAACAATTTCTTCTCTAGAATTTCTTCCTTACTGCTGTCTTTCAACCACACCCCTTGTCTTACGGTAGGAAAGATCTACACCTAGCCTTCTCGGACTTGGGCGAAAAATCTCGGAGGGCCCGTGTGCAAGTTGGGCACGATGGAGATCCAAAATCGATAAGAGTAGGCTTCAGCCACCCCCCGGGCAAAGTTCAAAATTTCCTACCAACTGAAAATGTTCAATGTGCCCCGCGTGCTCTTATAACCGTATGCAGTTTGGAACGTCTTAAAACTCATACCCCCCCCCCCCCCCCCCCACCAAAAAAAAGGGAAAAAAAGAAACTATGAAACTCTTTATACGGCCAATAGTTAAAATATGGGAGTGAAGCCTGGGTTTAATAACGAACATTAGGACATAGTCCAAGTAGCAGACATGTGTTTAATAAAAGACTGCTTTGGGTGAAATGGCCAGAGTCCGATAAGAGAACAAACAAAAGTGTCCTGAAAGTATTTGCTACTCAACATAATATGCTTCCTAATATCAGGAAAAGGTTAATCGAATGTCTTGGTCACTCAAATAGAAACGAAACATAAAGCGGACTTGATTACAACTGTGTTGTCGGGGATAAAATAGAAGTAAAGAGAAAAGGGGGAAAGCCTCCTACATACTTCACAGCTTCAAATATGACAGCACGCTACCTTGGAATTACAATGTTATATCCGACCAAAGATAGTACATAACAAGATGGGCCACTCAGGCAAAAAAGTGTCCGCAGGAAGTTCGCTCTTTGCTTCAGATGGCGCTGCAGTCTGTTTTGAAGCTCTCTTTCGTTTTTCCAGAAGAAGAATAGGAATAGCACCTCCTTGCGTGCGCAGATCGACTGCTGTTCATCAGCAGTTCGAGTTCGTTCAGTGTGGAATTTTAGTTGTTTTTTTATTTTAATGACCTCTAGCCTTTCATTCTTAAGTCAAATTAAACGAAGAAAACAATCACCCTTTCCTCCGGAAGAGGTTTTTTGTCAGCGTAACCATTTTAAAAAGCGTTCTTCCGAAATTCATTCAAAAACTTGCTAGTTTCACTTTGATTTTTTAACTCAAGTAGGATAAGTCTGTTCGCAAAAGGTGCGCTTTTGCGAAGAGGGCGCCACCGAATTTTCATGACACTTTTTTAATTGGCTCAAAGAGAGAAGTGGCCCCTCTTGTTATGTAGACTCTTTGATCGGACACAGTTTTGAGTTGCTAAAACCCCGAGGTCAAAAACCGAATGTTCTATCTGCTCTATCAAAATCGTAAGATTATTCGAAGTCGTTATCGAGGTATTTTTCAGAGAACTGCATTCCAAAAAGCTTTAGCATATTGTGAAACTCAAAATTTTTGTACGTCAAATTTCTCAAAACTAAGTACTAAGCAGAAAGAAATTTGTAATTAAAAGGTAGCGAAAAGTCTACGAGTTCATGAAATAACACATCAAAGCAGTGACGATGATAGACAGAAGCCCGTTGTGGCAGATGAACAGGGTCAAGGAGACTGGTGAACTGGTCAGTGCAGAGCCAAAGAAAGCAGGGCTTGTAGAAATAATATTTTAATTTGCTGCACGACGCGGTGGAATAAGGCGCTCGTCGATTTTTGGGCATGTGGAGTTATTGGTATCCTGTTAAATTTTGTTCAGTTATCTTGCTTTTAAAGAGATAGGCAATTCCATCTATCCTGAATAGAAGTCGAAATATTTGCGATTAAAAGGGGAGGGGGTCACCTGGTTTCAGAGGCAAAATTAGCGAAAAAAAAGGCCGCCAATGTTAGGTGACTACCTAAGATTGAGAGCCCTTGGAAACTAGTCAGCTATTTGTGTGTCTTTAATCAGCGTTTTGCAGTAAAATAGAAATGTTTTGTTTTTTTAAAGGCGTAAAAGCTGTAGAGCCAAGAAAACAAACCACAAAGCAACAAAAAAAAAGATAGAAAATACCGGTTTCTTTGATTTCTTTATTTTGACAAACGCCTTATTTCACCACGATGCCTCACATTTACTTCAGGCATTAGTAGATAACACAATGACCCTGTGTTCAGGATTCAAGTACTCACTCGAGTCTTTCATAATTACTTGGACTAGGACTTAAGTCCAAAATGATGAATTCGCTTAAATCTATTCACCTGGGTTTTTGTTTTTTGTTGGGTTTTGTTTTTTTCCTTTTCTTCGCATCCATCCCCTCACCCATATGTCCTCGCCATTGCTACAAATATTCCCCTCCTTTCAATCCCTTCATCATTCATCTAACCGTTTACTTACACAAACTCCCATCCGTTCACCTCCAACTTCTATCCAACCACTTTCCCGCCCATCAATAATTTATACGTCCCTCAAACAACATAGCTCTTAGACATTTCCCCTACTTGTTTAATCTATCTTTCCATTCGTTCATGAATCGATGGATAGCACACATTGTTCACTCACCCATTTTGGAGGGCATTTGTCTTTCTATGTTTTCCTCTCGAACCTTTCCTCCCTCTGTCCTCTGATGTTCCACATAATTGTGAGAATGGAGAATGTTTCTGACCATCCATCCGTCGATTACAAAGAGTGAACGTCTATTATTGCAGTGGGGGACAGAGATGTTCGCAAGATATTGGTGGTGATGGTGACGATACTGGTTTATTGTCGAGGTTGCTATGGTGATTGTCGTTATCGCAAATGGTATTTTGTGTTTTGTCTGAAAGCTGCATCAGCGTCAACAACAACCACAAGGCCACCATCCACAGCCACCACCACAACTACAACCACAACCACGAATAATAACAAGAACGCTAAGAACTCTAACAGCAGCAGCAACAACGAGAGCAACCACAGAAGCAGTAGCGGGAATATTTCTTACTAGCTGGGCCCCCTTTTGATGAAAGGAATGATCGGTGCATTAACATCAACTGAAAATCATTGGCCTACTATATTTACACTCTTGTACTGGAATGGAGCAATAAATCTTGAGAGATGCAACAATTTAGAAGGTCTCTATTTATACTCTCCAAACAACAGTGCGCACGGCTAGTGAACGGAAACCTCACTTGTTTACAATGGCGTTTTAGAAATCGGACTTTCCCAAGAATAGATCCAAACGAAACTAATGAAAAACTGAAAATTGAGCAACAGTGACTTCAAGCTCCTCAATAAAACTGTGCACCCTTTAAATGATTCTAAACCACCATTAATTTTGTCAAATTCGAAAGTTAAGTGTTTCGGAAGTTTTAGGCGGCCAAAGTGACCGACTTTCCCAAAATATGTAGAGATAATATGATAGGTGTAAACTTCAAGCTTCTGTACTTGTTTTTGTGAGTGTGTGTGTGTGTGGGGGGGGGGGGGGGGGTTAAGGTATCAATATTTGCGTTCGTAATTATTTAGTGGGTTGTTGGTTGTTGTTTTTATTTTTTTGGTTGTAATTTTTTTTTCCATTTAAACTGTTGGTGTCGGTCTTCTTCTTCTTCTTCTTCTTCTTCTTCTTCTTCTTCTTCTTCTTCTTCTTCTTCTTCTTGTAGATGCACCAGCTGTGTGCGTAGAAATCCACTGCACTGTGAGATGAAGGTGTTGCGGTCAGTTACTCCCTTAGCTCAAACAAAGGTACGAGAAGAAAGCATTAAATCTACTCCAGGGACAAAGAGGTAATCTTATTTTCAAAATCTAAAAGAGGAGCTTAAAGGGATTTAAAAGTTATAGTTAAAAAAACTAATGGATAGGTCATCCCCATTTTAAAAAGACTAGCTGGGCCCCCTTTCGATGAAAGGAAGGATCGGTGCTTTAATATCAACTAAAAGTCATGGCCTACTATATCTACACTCTACTGGAATGGGGCAATAAATCTTGAGAGATGCAAAAAATTATAAGGTCTAGATCTGTACTCTCAGAACAAAATGCGCCTCGCGAAATATCACTTCTAGATTTTCTAAAATTACAGAAACAGAAGTGTCGGTCTACAAAAGCGATCGGCAAAATAAAGAAATTTTGCTTTTTGCAGCAAAACCGTCTCAAAACTGAAAAAAACCAAGGGCGTCATGCTCTGGAGAATATTTTAAAGAATCTTTTGGCGAAAACCGCATGTCGATCGATGGAGCCATTAAAAAGCCTTTTGAATAGCAAAATTCGGCCACCACAAATGGATAATAGAAAAGTGTGGAAAAAGCACTCTGTCATCACCATCATCTTCATCATCACCATCATCATCATCATCATCATCATCATCTTTGTCTCTTTTGTCCTCAGTTGTCCGGGGAGGAGAAAAAGCACCTCATAGAAGAGTTTGCGACCTGTCTCTCCCTCCCACAAGCTGAGTCCATTGTGGAGAATATGGCGAACCTGTTGGGGGACGACGAGTCCATTTCTCTGGCGGGTAAGTTTCTCAATTTGTGGATTTAATGATAGTGAATTCTCTATCCTACCCCCCCCCCCCCGAAAACAACAACAACAACAACAACAACAACACAAAAGCTGACAGAATCTAGATCACGTGAGAATTAAACTGCTTCGACCGCACGCTTTTTTGGTCAACTAAAGCTCCCAGCATGTCGATGGAAAGTCGGAAGTACTCGATAAATGGAACTTTCCCACCCCGTGAAACGAAGTTGCGTCTTCAGTGTGCAACGGAAAGCATAGAGCCTCTCTCTGAAAGGTGAAAGGAGACAATTTTAGAGAAGAAAATTTTCGTCGCTATCGGGATTCGAACCCACCGGGACTTATTGAATGAGATGCGAACATCATTACCTCAAGGCCACGATAGCCCCCAGTACAGAGTATGATTCTAACGTTGACATAAATCACAGTAACAAATCGCACGGGAGTCCCGGCAGAAGGGCACGGTAGACTTCGGAGGTCAGAGCTCAAGGGGTTCGAGGCAGAATCACAGTTCGTTAAAGGCACTGCACATATAGGGTAAAGGTGCGGCCACACTGGAAAAAGACTACAGACACCGTCATAAGCAGTGCGCTGCCTTAGAATTATAAAGGTCTATCTGAACTTTTGGCCGTTTTGAGTTAGTGAGACCGTGAGGTCAGAAATCAAATGTTGTATCTGCGCTATCAAAAATCGTAAGATTATTCGAAGCCGTTATCAAGATATTCAAAGAATTGCATTCGAAAAAGCTTGGCATTTTGTGAAACACAAAATTTTTTACTTCAAATTTCTCCAAATTAGGCGCTGAGCAGACAGAACTTTGTAATTCTAGGGTAGGTAGCGGTCTATGTATAAAACCACATAGGCTAAAGTTTGCAGCCTGGTAGGGTTGAGGATGCTGCCACGCTAGAAAAAGCAAATCACTATATTGTACTGTTCTGCTTCGTTGACTGAATTATAACTGATGACAAAAGAGTGTGGCATCGCCCTGAGGTTGTTAAATAGATTTGTAGGCGTCTTAGTCCCTCTTAACTTTCCTTTGCCGTCGTAGGCACAAGTCACCTGACCGAACTTAAATTTTTTTAAAGAAGAAAAACTTTGAAACTCCATTCCATTCCGGCAGACATGTGCGCGCACACACATACTCACTCTTTTTTTTTTTAGCTACGAACAAAGATAATATTGCTGTTCAATGATCTAATAAGATCTGACATTGCAATTCCTTTAATCTTCTGTGGACAGTTCTACGACATCTATAATTCAAATAAACTCAGGCATGATTTCAACATCAAAAACATCAAATAATCAGACAAGGCCGCATAACAAAATGTCATAGCACCCCCCCCCCCCCCTTTCCCCGAAGGCATTGATTAGCAACGCTTGGGATTGAATCATTGTTTTCTTAGTTTTAAAATGACAAAATGCACACAGTTTAGATCCTCTGCTAGATCAAACTAACCGTGTGCTTTTGTCAATTTCTGGTACAATTGACAGGTGAACAAGTTATTGCTCTTAGCAAGTGTACACATATACGCACACGTACATACACTCACATACAGAAACACATATACACACCCTCACCCCCTACTCACAAAAATACATACTGACATACACGCGAGCGGGCACTCGCGAGCGAGAGAGAAAGTGTGTGTGTGTGTGTGTGTGTGTGTGTGTGTGTGTGTGAGTGTGTGTGTGTGTGTGTGTGTGTGTGTGTGTGTGTGTGTGTGTGTGTGTGTTTGTGAAATGGGCGGGAGGGAGATGTTGTGTCTAAATCCTCTTTGTTTCATATCCACCCATTTCTTCTCCAGAATTTAACAACTACCTGAAGTTTCCACCTCGCATCGAACCTCAGCCAAATCTGGGCAACACCCGTGTTAACTTGCAAGCACCTAATGTCCTCGTCAATTCCCCTGAGGGTCTGATGCAATCGCCGCCAGTCATCCAGAGGAACCCACCTCTGCAACAACTGCAGCAGCAGCAGCAGCAGCAGCAGCAGCAGCAGCAGCAGCAGGTACCAGAAAAGGCCGTTCTGCAACAACAGAAGCAGCTGTCAGAAAAGCAACAGCAGCAACAACGACACCAACAACAACAGCAGCAACTACTGCTCCAAAAGCAAGCGAATCTGCAACAACAGCAGCAGCAACAGCAACAGCAACTGCAACAGCAACTGCAACAGCAACAACAGCTCCGAGGAGAACAAGGACAGCGACCGCTTCAGCAAGTGAAGGCGCCGAGGTGGTCCCCTCAAGCCTTGAACGTGAACAGACCCCAGGAACAACCATCACGGCGATATGAGCTCCCTAACCCACTACAGCCGCAGAGAGGAACGGACGGGCAAGAACTGAAACAAAAGCCAAAACAGGAAGGAAATCCAAATCTTAAAGCGCAAAAGAATCCACAAGATCAGAATCAATTTCAACAAAACAAAATACACGGAAATCCCAACAGTCACACCGACAACAGTAACAAAAACAGTAGCAACAACAGCAACAACAATAACAACAAAAACAGCAACAACAACAACAACGACGACGACGGCGACGACGACAGCAACAGCAACAGCAACGACAGTACCAACAGTCACAGCAACAAAAGCAACACCAAAAAGTAACTGTTTGTCCTGAGATATTACAAGAAGACCAACAATGTCTTACTTTTTCTTTTCCATCCTCTGTTGCCGTTGAACATAATATTGTAAGACATTTTGAAATCAATACAAATTTTGTCCCTGTACATTGTGAAGGCGGGGGAGATGCCATGTTAAAACTATGATTACCGTGCCCTCTGTTTAGTGAAAGTTTATACGACAGTGAGGCAGCGTGGTGGAATCAGGCTATCGTCAATTTTTGGGCATGTAGAGTTATTGGTATCACCTTAAAGCTTATTCACTTGTCTTTATTTGGATGGAAAAAATGTTTGTTTGTCTTGAATACAAGTCGAGATATTTGCGAAAGAAGGAGGTGGGGGTCACCTGTTTTCAGAGGTAAAACTAGTGAGAAAATGGAAGCAAAGAGTAGTTATTTCCTTAGCTTAAGAGTCCGTGGTAACTGAAAATTTACATTTGGGTGCCTTTATTCAACGCTTTTCAGAAAAATCCACACAGAAATTAGTTCTTTAATGGGCATGAAAAGTGTTGAGCCAAAAAACAAAAAACGATAAAAATTCACAAACCTGCGGAAAAATGCAAGTTTCCTCACTTTGATTATTTTGACGAGAGCCTGATTCCACCACGCTGCCTCACCTATACAGAATTGTGGAATAGCTGGACAGCCGCCATGAGGAACCAATCGACTACGAATAGTTAGTTATCAAACCTCTGGTCTTTCATGATTAACGACTTTGGGAGCAGACAAGAAACTTCAGTATGAAACCTTCTAAACTCTATATCATCGCTGTTCTGTCACAACATAAGTATACGAAATACCATCGTGTTCGAAATCCTCTTTGAATAAATGTTCACATTCCGTCTTTAATGATCTCTATATGTTGGGTTTTTTTTTAATTTTCACTGTCAAAGCCTGGTCTTCAGTCACTGTGCACAGTCTGTTTCTCTTTTTCTTTTGGTTATCAGTGTATTACTATGCTTTATGTTGCTCTTGCGAAGACCCATCTATGTTACATCCCCACCCTACTTCCCTTCGTGGTTGCAGTTTCGTACTCTGTGACAGTTACCATTGGTAGACTGCCAGGGAAGGAGGCAACAGGCTATCATCCTGGCCTGGATGATATGAGGTGGGGCAAAAAGAATAGGAGAAGCCACACATCATAGTTAATCTTCTTTCCTCTACTTTACTTTAACAGATTACTCTCCTCTGAAGATACCGGATGTCTAAAAGAAAAGACACATTTAAATGGTAATAACTTCGTCATCTTTGAACCAATTTCAACGAAATTGAAGAAATTAAGTGTCACGACACGATGGAATGAGCTGCTCGTCAATGTTTGGGCATGTGGAGCTACTGATATCATTTGAAAAACTAGTTCATTTGCTTTGCTTTGGATTTTAAAAAATACCTGTCTATTTTGAAGAGTAGTGGAGATATTTGCGACTGAAGGGGTACGGGTCACCTGGTTTCAGAGATAAAATTAGAGAGAAAATGGTTACCCAAGTCTTGTAACTTCTAAAGCTTGAGAGTTCTTGAAAACTGTTTTTTTTTAATGTATACTTTATGCTTTTAATCAACGTCTTCTTAAAAGTAAAATTCACATGGGAATCTGTTTTCATGTGCACATAAAAGATTTTGAGCCACAAAACCAAAAATTCAATTTTTAAAATTGCCAAACTGGCGGAAAAATGCTTTTTAATCTTCGATTTTATTATTTTGACGAGTGCCTGACTTCACCGTGACGCCTTGCAAATTTCAACCAGGGGCACATTGTGTTTGTCAGTATGAAAAATGTCAACAGCCATGTTTTAAAAAATATCAAGTTTATAAAATTTCAACAAAAATTGAGTGAAACACAAAACTTTGCACTTCTTAAAAATCAACCGTACAGTTCTATTTGAAATAGTCACTGGAGAACAAATTTATACAAAAATTATATTGCCAAGTAAACCCAGGGAGGTGATGACTATCCTCTGGTGTTGACAATATCTTTCTCTATACAAGTTACGATACGCCACTGGGAATTCTTATCACCCGGTGGCATGTTTTTGAGTCGATTCTTTAGACGTCTTGTTCGACATTGAGTTTCATCTGTTCGATTGTGTGTGGCTACTTACCGTAGACTCTGTCAAAAAACAAACATGCAAAAAACGCCAGAGGTAATAATTGAAAGGGCACAGGTTTAGGAGAACGTGGTGACCTTTCATTTGTAAACGCACAGCTTAAAAGGCGTTTCCTAAACATTTCTTGCTGCAACGATACAAGCCAGGCCACTCAAGACATGTGTGGTGTGATACCGTCCCACCGGAACGAAGCCTATACAGCATGGCACCTTCTCCTAGAGCTGGGCGAAGAACCGATTCCGGAACCAATTCCCACGATTAAAGCTACGGAAGAAAAGTTCTGACTCCTTTTTACGTAAACTAACGGTTACCAGTTACCTTAATTATTAAAATAATCTCTTTTTTTTTTTAGAATTTAATATTCGTAGTGTTCTGAAATCAAGGTTATCCTAAATCCTGAAGATGTTGTAAGCCAACCAGGTAACCACCTGAAGAAATCACATCATTAGATTGTAAGTGATTGGGTTCGGAGTGGATTCCTACGGTTCTTAACTTTCAATAATCTGGAACCGAGCCGCCCAGCACTACCTTCTCCACCCCAAAGTCCTCCAAAACTTTCTCAGCACGGTGAGAATCAGATATTCATCTAACATGAGTCGTGGTTTTATCGTCTTTATCCTCAAATCAGAGAGGGTCGATCACACGCCTCTGTTGCTGAACGCTTTTAATTAAGAAGTGCAATTTTGCATTATATCCACAGTTGGTTGAAATTGTTAAATCATTATATTTTTCGAAGGTGTCGATGGATTTTCTTCATTTTTACAAACTTTAACGTCTTTTTTTTTTTTGGTAAGTGTTTTACAGCGCTCGCAACTGCATAAGATCGTATGAGCGCGCTGGACACACCTAATACTTTTAGTTGGAAGGAAATTTTGAGTTTTGCCCAGGTGGCGGTCGAAGCCTACTCTTATCGATTTTAGACCACCAAGGGATCTTTAACGTGCGCAACTTGCACACGAGCCCTCCGAGATTTTTCGCCCTTGCCCGAGAAGGCTAGGTGTAGATCTTTCCTACCAGAAGATCAGGGGTGTGGCAGAAAGACAGCTGTAAGAAGGAGTCAATGAGTAGCAGTAGAAAGGCTGCAGAAAGAGTCAGGAGCCCAGAGGAGGGGGCAAAGGAGATGAGGGGGTGGGGGCAGAATGAGGAGACGAAAGCAGACGACAGAAAATTTTCGGTCGCTACCCGGATTCGAACCCGGGACCTTTGCATGAGAGGCCAACACCTTAACCTCTAGGCCACGAGAGCCCCCTTTAATGTCTTCCTTGTTGAAACTGATCTGTAAGAAGTTTTGTCAAAATTAGTGCACTGATGACCGAGTCATTGTCTTTTAAGTGGATCCTCTTTTATAGACACCCAGTACATTGGCCATCGTTAGATATTGATGGACGAACTATTATTATTATTATTATTATTATTATTATTATTATTATTATTAT